TTCGTTACAAACCAGCAAGGAAAGTCTGACGGAGTAGAGTAGGTCGCTACTGTGTTCCCACAGGGATAGCGCGCATGGTGAGCTGCTCCTTCTTCTTGCTAAGACTCTGACCAACCCAGGCTTTCAAGCTCACTTGAGGAAAGTGTTGCTAACTCTTTTACTGTCAAATATAAAATTCTGGTCGGACAGGCAGAGTCTGCCTCAGTTCCGGGTGGAACTTGTGACCTGCCGTGGAAAGGAAGTATTTGATGGGGCCAGCTGGGGCTTGTTCTCTGAGAGGCCCTGGGTTTGTTTAGTTTTATCTGTTTTTATTTTTATTTTGGTCTGCTTTATCCCATTTGTTCACAGCTAAATCTGAGGGAAACGGACCTTACTACACGCACTATTACAAATTCTAAATGGAAAGCCAGGAAGAAAAAGGGAGAAAATGGACATTTGATTTGAACGCAGCTCATATATTCCCTTTTACTTACTTTCTCTAGGAGACCCAACTGCAACTTTCTATTGCTTACCTAGAATGTTCTCCACAAAACGTCTCTGGGGCTGGCAGTTGGATTTTTCCTTCTTCTAGTAAATGAATTGGTGATCAAATAAAGAACGATGTGGATCTATGATAACATTGTGAGTCACTCAGACCCGCTCTCTGGTAAAAGCCACTACACAGATGCCCCTCCCTGTTTGGAGGATAAGTACGGTTTATCCTTCCCGAAATGCGTCTCCACCACAGCCTTCCCCTGAGCTGAGAGACAACATCCCCATATTGTACCCAGAATCCTGCGGAAGGACTGCCTTAAGAAACCAAAATTACACAAATACGAAAGAGCCTAGATTTTGACAGGATAAATATTATGTCTGGGAAGACGTTCACAGCAAGAGTCGAGGAAGGAATTTCACTTCAGCAAAGGACTATTTTCAAAATGGAGCAAGTTCCGAGCTGCCAGGAGGTCAGGGTAAACAGCAGATCCCACTGAGAAGTGAAACCCTTTTCTGACAGAGCACAGAATGCTCTGTTTCACGGTGAGTGCCACTACAGCTGGGGCGATGGTCACTGGGGAAGAGACCTTACTGTCAAGGACAGAGGGCCTGCAATCCTGCGTAAGTGATTACATTCACCCACATGCCTAGGGCTTCACCAAAGGCCTGGATTAGCCTTTTAAATTCTGTACGTTCCTAACCCCAGGTCCTGAGTCTACCGCTGTCACCAACATAACAGAAGGGCACTTGTCTATTTATTTTCTGGGTATCTGTTGAGCATAAAGCTTGGTGCTAATCTTGTGTTCCACATTCCCAATGTGCACATTTCGGCATCTCCGCATCCCAGAAGATCTACAAACAACTCCGGAAATTTCAGCGTGGCACACAGAAATCCGTGCATGCAGGGGCTTTTTTCATTCTTGGGAAAATTCTTTCGGAGGATTTTCAGAATTATCTCTGACATCTCCCAAAGATTAAAAATCACATTCTTAGGACAAATGTAAATTGGCCATGGTTTCCCTCCTCACAACACAGCCGTTCATACATTTGGTAGATGTGTGCTTTGGTTCCCAGTGAAATCATTGAAGCTATATTCCCTGATGGATCAATTCATTGGCAACTAATATAATACTCTAGGAGGGAAGAGGCATTTGCAGACATTACTGCTAAAGTTCCTTAAAGGTCCCCACCTCACACTGTGGGGAGCGCTCTTGCCATGGGAACCTACTGGTGGCAGTTGTAGACAGGGACAAGCGTTCAGGTATTCAACCTCACGGAGGAGAGTTCCTGTTGACCCTGAACTTGGAGGTGATGGATAGTCTCAGGCCCTGTGATTAAAACAATAATTCTGACAACCACTTGTACGCCTTCCTAATCTCTGGATTTCAGTGGGTCTCCCAGGACTCCCCTTTCTCACGCCACCCCCAACTAAGAGCAACTCTCTCTTTGTGAAAGTCATTGCAAGTCAACAGGCAGATGGGAAACCAAAGAGAGAAACATTCTTGGGGTGAGATACTAGATCTCAGCTACCTGGACAGCAAGGGGAAGCCGGGGGAAGTCAGGGGCCAGGGAAGAATCTAGAGCCGCCTTGGCCTTCAACAGTGCTCACAGGGGCCTGTGATCAGCCTTGCCTTAGGAGCCAGACCGGCAGGTTTTCCCAGTCACCGGCTGAACCTGAGGTTAGGAGCTGTGGTGCTGGCCACTAGCCAGCACCAGACAGATCCATTTCTTGGAACAGAGGAAATCCCTTCCCTGGGTAGCTCTGCCAGTCTCGGTGAGGGTCACCAACCCCCAACATCTGGCATCTGGCGAAATAAAGGGGGCACCCTTCCATAGATTCTCTACCTTTCATTCCACACCGAGTGTCCAGGCTCCTTGGAGAACCTGTCATTGACAACTCAAAACTGCCCTTAAGATGTGTGCACGGATGGAAAGCCAGACCTCTGGGTCAGTCTGTGAATGCCAAGGGCATATTTTTAGACACATTTTAGAAAACAGAAAACGAAATAGACGAGTCTTAATATCCCTTAATAAAACATAATGAAACTTTAAAAGGCAAGGCTCAGCCAGGGGGATTAGGACTAATTGTTAGAATTAGGAGAGAGAGAGAGAGAGAGAGAGAGAGAACGAGGTGGGGGTTGTCTACCAGGCTTCGATGATGACACAAAAAAAAAAGAAAATTAAATTAAATTGTGTGACTACAAAGTGAAATTACGAGGCAAAACTATGTTCAGCCTCCCAAGAGTTCACTTGTCTTACATTATTGACATAAAAATATGTAGACCATAAAACTCAAGACCAGTGTTATATACAGTAACGGTAACTGGGTCAAGTGGTCAATTAGTGTTCCTGAGTTTTAATGATTTACTATCAGACATGGCGTGGAGAGCCTGTTCAAATCAATTATAATCCTCTTTTTTTAAATTTTGCATCTGATTAATTTTTTTTCATTCCAGGGTATGAGAAGACAGCCTGGCCTTGGGTGCTACTGTTTTCTTTTGGGGGGTTTATGCAAACTTGAGTGCACACTGGCACGAATCAGGTAGCAGAATGTAAACAGCCCACACCTTGGGGAAACAGTCCGCCGTTCCTCAGGTAAACAACAGCGCCTATTAGTCACCCACTCAAAACAGAAATGGCCAAAGAGAGATGGGGGCCAGCCCTCGGTACCACAAAAGGAAGCATGCTGCTTTCAAAACCCACTCTTTGCCATCATCAACCTATTCTGACGGGTGTCGGAGAGTCGCCGCGGCTCCCTAGTGGAAATGTCACTGGGACGAGCCAGGAAACAGTCTTTAAAACCCCCATAGCCAAGCAGGACAAAAAGACCCACCTAGGCGCCTATGAATAGAACCACACTTTCTCTGGCAACCAAGCGATACCCAGCTAGCCATTTCTAAAAGAGGCACCTCCTAAGCTAGGTGAAGATCACTGCTAGGCAGGTGGGGGCTAGCTTCTTTTTGGCTTCCCACCCTCTTCGTGATGTTTGCTAAGCACAGGCCCCGGAACCATAATGCGAGTTCCATTTGCTCAAAGACAGACTTTCGCTATAACAAGTGAACCCACTTAACGACACACGCACACAGCATCTCCGGCTTTCAGTAAGAGGACAGACGCCTCTCCGAATCACCCTATTATTAGCATAGTAGTGTGAACATTAATTTTCAATCACATTATAGGGTTTTTTTCCCCAGCTGTGATTTCATTATGAAAATGGCCGTACATCTAGGCTAGCAGCAAACAGCCCAGATGTGCATACACTTACTCTCCCGTCTTCCACTAAGAACAGGTTTTCTAGGTTTTCTGACCACCTTTGTAGACAAGAGTGATGATGACTTCTTTGCCTGCACTTTTCTACATTCGCCAGTCTGGTTGTTTTGCTTTGTTTGCTTGGTACTGGGGACCAGACAGAGGGCTTTCCACTGAGCTGCAGACATCACTGACCCTTTTTTAATTCTTTTCAAATACAGGAACTATTACTGCTACTGAGACATGTATTCTGTTCTTTAATCTAGAAATACCTCTGATGGCCAGGCTTATTGAGCACTACATTACAAAGGTGCTCTTAGATTTTTCACTACTTGTTGACGTTTGTAAAATATGATTTAGTCTTGGAAACAAAGAGAAAATGTAATACTTGAGAGGTAACTGGAAAGTAGAGACGTCTACAGTGAAACAAGTTCCCTCTTTCCACTCCAGTGCCTGATAGATGGTTAAGGGTGAAGGCCAATAAAACTGCCTGTCCACCTGAGCCAAGAACGGCTCCTTTAATAATCAGGTCTCTAACAAAATTAACATCTGAAAGTTAAGTGAGCCCCTTTTCTCCCACCAAACTGTAATAGGCTGCAAAAAAAATAAACACATCACGAAGGCCATGTTGTTCTCGGTTGTATTAATATGATTCTGTGTGTGTCCTAAAAATGTAAGCTTGCTTAAAACCATATCATCTAGTGTAAGGATTCCCCAAACCACCGATGTGACCAGTTGAAATCCTGTCACTTGTGGTAGAAGCCACAAGCACCATACGCTGAAGGCTCACGATGCTCACATTGCCCGGCAGTGAACTCTCATTACACAGTCTTAGTTCTCATTATGGTGAGGTTCACTTTTGTCATTTTAGAAAAATTGAAGTGTTTTCATAATTCATGCCGGGCACTAGTGGTGCATGCCTTTAATCCCAGCACTCAGGAGGCAGAGGCAGGTGGATCTTTGTGAGTTCAAGGCCAACCTGGTCTATAGAGCTAGTTTCAAGAGAATCAAGGCTGCATAGAAAAAGGCTGTCTTGAAAAACCAAAAAAACAAAACAAAACAAAAAAGTAATTCATTCATGTATTGTGTATTCCAAGTCAGTCTTAAGGCAATTTAGTTATCAAACATGATAATATAAAATTAGATTCTTGCAGAAGTATTAAATTTCAAATAAATATATTAAAGTTTGATGCGGCATCAATACTAAGAAACTGCTACCAGTTAAGCCTGGGTTCGCTCCCAGGCACATATACTTGGAGCTCATTCGTGATACGTACCTCTACCACTCCGACCAACAAACCGGAGGTCGTTGAATCTTGCCACTTGGTTCTTCATGGCTGCCGTAGCATTTCTCAGCTCCGCCGAGTAGTTTTCATCGTTGCCTGCCATGACGGTGACCAGAGTGCCATCCGGAACATCCCCCAGCGCTACTACCTAGACATCAGTCAAGGGACAAACGCAGATATCAGAGCTGCCGCAGGCACACGTCCATGTCACTGGCGTGACAATTGGTCGAAAATTAAACCTATGACAGGGGCTCACGTAGCCCAGGGTGACCTCAAGCTCTTTGTCTAAGGGATGGCCTCGAACCTGATGACACTTCTGGTTTCCAGAAAAGTCGTAACTTGCGCGATAAAGGAGAGGCTATCTGTTAATTCCACAACGCGTAGACGGAGATGAGGAAGACAGCGATGAATTGAAACGAGCAAAGCCATTGAGGTCACACAAAATAGCGGGGACAAGACAAAAGAGGACAGGGACTCTGAGAAGATGCTGCTTCTTGTCAATGTAGTCATCTCTTAAGACCTCATGTTTGTATGTTTGTAGTTTATAATCTAATCCTCCTTTAAAAAAGATTGATTTTATTTTGAATTAACTGTATGTGTGTGTGTATACATGTAGTGCCACTGGAGGGCAGAGGCGTCAGCACACCTGGAGTGGAATCGCAGGCAGACGTGAGTCACCTGACAGAGGTGCTGGGGTGAGCTGATCCCCTGCAACAGTCTCCTGTTTTCTTACCTACTGAGCCGTCTCTCCAACCCCATCATTTACCTGCTTGGACCTTCACTGGTGTGTCTAATAGGACCTGGACTTAGCCATTTAAACTTAGTTCTGTTAAACTTAAAGTTGACTTTTGCTACTGATTTTATTCTATTTTTCCCAAGACAGGGGCTCACGTAGCCCAGGGTGACCTCAAGCTCTTTGTCTAAGGGATGGCCTCGAACCTGATCTTCCTGTCTCTGCCCTGTGAGTGCCTGGGTTACAGGATGTGCCCCCCACATGGACAGCTTCCAGGGACTCCAGAAGGACTTAACCAGCCCGATTGCGGCTGATGTCTGGCATCTCTTTCTGCCTCTATTGGATTCTCACTAGCAGTGGACTAGGAGACAATCCAGAATGTGCCATTTATTTACTATTGATCACAAAGGGGACGACTTCGGAACAAAGCAGGTTCCAATTTAATCAGCCTCCTGAACTACATGTGAGACCAGGCTGCATTTCACAGCTGTGAGCCTCAAACATGTACTATCTGTATTCCGAGGGATCCCGTTACTGTCGCCGAGTAGGGAAGGGTTTATTATATTTTGAAGACAATTGGTAGTTAAACACATTTCATATCCATAAAACCAAAAAAGGCACCAATTTTAAATAAAAATACTCTGAAGTATTTGTCTTAAAAATACTTCACGAATTATCATCCATCATGTGGCTGCTATTTGATTCTTTTTATTTTGTTTTAGAGCGAGGGTCTCACTAGATGGCCTAGAACGGCCTTGAACTAACAATCTTGTCTTTGCCTGTGAGGCCAGGGCTTACAGGTGTATACCACCAAGCCTGGCCTCCTTTGGCTTCAGCAGTGACTTTGAGTTTTGACTTGATTACAACTCACATTTGTGTGTTCCAATTTCAAAGTGGTCCATGGAATTCAAATCAAAATACCTCAAGTTCACTTGCCCCCCAAATCATTTCTGATCTGTGCTGTCCGTCTGTAGTGAAAACGTTATGTGTCCTGGTTCATGGTCATCCTTAGGTAGGGTCCTCAAGCTGGTAGCAGCGAGCATTTCTCAACACGCTGGTACTTTCTTTTTCAGTATTTTCTGCATACTAGTTACTGCATAATTTATTAGAGGAATATTTCCGTCTGTATGTATGTAAATAAGGATGCCACAGATTCACTAATTTGGGATCAATGTCCAGTCCCTTTGCTAGCCATCCTCACTGTGTGCTTAGTCATGCCCTCTTAGCTGCCCGCGGTCCTGCGGATGACTATCCGGGTGATTTTTACTCATTATGGCTGCTCTATCTCCTGGGCTCTAACGAACATGCCAGGAAATGACCCAAGTTGCCTGGAGAACTGGACGGACAGAACCTAGGACATCACCGGACACTCTGCTCTGGGTATTGAGCAAGCATCTTGTTAGCTCTTTAATTTTATCTGTCTTAACCAGCTTGCTTTGTGAGACCAGGAGGGAACCGCTTGCCTCTGTTTTTAACCCTTCAATTCCAATTGTTGGACATGCTTTCTCCAAGCAGACTTTAAAACTCTAAGCTGTCTGTAATTAGATGTTTATAGCCCACCGCAAGTGTTTGATGACCTTTAATTAAGATTGGTAATATGACAACTCTTTTGTTTCACAGAACATTATTGCAATAAATCTCCCTGATCAGTTAATTGATCATTATTAGCCTTCCTTTCTGCTCCTACAAAAGTCCACTCCTATCAAGTCTGCTGCTTTGAGTCTCTTTATTTCCCCCATTTCTTTTTCTTTTCTATTTTCACTTCTCCCTGCACAATTAGCTCACAGTGTTGAAATGTCCTCCACGAAGTCACTTCACTTCCTTAGGCTCATCTGACTGCAGATGTAGGCTTTTTTAGCTCAATTCTACACCCGCTGGGCATTAGGGTACTGGGTAGACAATTGGGCTTCCAAACGGAATGCCTTACTGTTGGGGCCCATATTTCTTCAGAAATTAAAATAAATACATCCTGTTCCATAAGTGCCCAAAGGCATGCTGAGTCATGGCCCTCCTCCTGCTGTGTCTCAGTGTGCCTCAGTTTACCATCATTGCTCCAGTGCTATCACATTAGAGGGGGGGGGTCAATCCAGGAGTCCCTCACGGAGAGATGCAGACAGCACGAAAGGGCCATGGTGCCTGGCTAAGAAAAGGCTGCTGATGTTGGAATTCAAAAGTCTAAAAATCAGGAGTTTAAATTTCATCACTCCCATTTTAAAGGAAGTGGGAAGGGGGCATCCAGGAACTCAGTTATTACTACTATGTCTTTTTGATTTATCTCCCAAGAGTTTTGGTGGGGAAGGGAAGGAGACAAATTAAATCCAGAAACATTTAACATTCTATTTCATCCAATGACAAGCAGACTTAAACTAGGCTAACGTTTTTTTTCTTTTTAGATTTAAAACTAAGATGTCTTCCAATTTGATAAAGATTTTGTCCATGAGAGGTGATATAAAAAGAATGAGAAAAAAAAATCTAACTCCAAACAGAAATAAAAAGCAGCGTCTGCAATAAAAAGTTATAAACAATAGGTAAGGGAAGACAAACATTTACATTTAGCACAGACCAAACAGACAAGAAGGGACTTGCTGGCCAAAGATAGCTCATACTTTGTTGAACTTCTCTGTTCTCCAAGTATCAGGAAGTTGGGCAAAATATCAGCTCTCCTCTATGCTCTAAGGGCCTCCCAGCCCTGTTCTTGGCTAGCTTGTTCATAATCGGAAACTGGCATTTTCCAACAACTTCATAGGGTGAAATTACAGCTACAATTCATTTGCTGCAAATTCCTTAATCTTCCAGAGTTTCAGAGTGGGCTGCCGAGTAGAACATTCACCTGAGACGGCATTTAATGCGTAGCTAGAGACCATGATCTTCCTGCTAGAAAATTATTTGTTCCTTTTTTAAAAAAAAATTAAAAAAAAAAACATTTTTCATCCTGCGGCAGCCAGGGTCTTGGAACTCCCTGTTGAAGGCATGTGTATCCCCTGTGTACCAGGGCCTAAACACACTGCTCTGATACAGTATTGCAAAAGCGGCTGCAAGTCACCTAAACAGCTTTGTTGCTGCGGCTCCTGCCAATACAGCATAGCATGTAGCTGACTTTCTCGTCTGTGAAGGGTTTCTCCTGTAGGAGCAAAGAGGGGCGGAGGATAGGTGGGAAAACCAGTTAGGACAATTAAAATCTATTTTCAAGAGAATTCATGAATTTAAATCTCTTGATAATTCTTAAAGATTAAAGCTGAGGGCTTAACAAAATTCCAGAAGCTTCCCGAAGATGTTATTCTCTGGGGATGGACTCCATCACAGCTTCACATAATCTGGTTTTTATCATGGGGAATCAGATAATTCCTACAGGATTAACCGCTAAAGAGACTCCTGAGATGTAACTGAAATCCCAAACGTAGAGAAACATTTGGGTGAGAACTGTTTCAGGGCGTTTGGTAGGGGCTGGTACAGACAGGGGCCAGGGAGGCCGAGAAAATCTGCTAGGATGCTGCTCTGTTTTGAAGTCCAGCTTCCTCTTAAATCCACCTGTACACCTCCTCTGCCTCTGAAACCCCTCTGTACCGGCTCAGTCCAGCAGGCGCTGAGCTCCAGAGGGGCCTTCTCTGTGGGACCGAGTGCTGACAGATATTAACCGAGGGGTCTGATTTTTCTGCTGCCCTGTCCTTCCCACCACACACGCTCAAGAGACCCACTTGACTTCCTCAAGAGCTGTGCTCTATCCACCTTGACCTTGGTCATGGCTACCGGCTGTCACTCAGGAACACAAACCGAGATTCTTTTAGAAGTGGGTTTTCCAAAATCATTTATAAAACGGAGCCTCTATGGCTGTGATTATTTTGCTAAAAGGAATTTTCCGCGGTTTCTAAAAGCAGTATGCATGGTCTTTCATTCTTTTGAAAGAAAATAAACATTTCCATGTGGTAGCAAGCTTAGGAGTTTTCATTGCTTCAACTCTGAAGACAATTTTTAAAAAATCAATCATTTAGAGTCTTGATAAACTGGGGTCCCTCATAGTAAAAGAAAAAAAAAGCACCTCGAGAAAAACTCTGAGTCCACCCCCAAGGAAGTCTCTTTAACTCTGCTGAGCGGGGAAACCTACCTTAAATGGTCCCTTTGTTGACTAAAAAAGCTTGATTTCTCTCTGATGACAGTGACCTCAGGGCTGAGCCCACTCAGGTTCCCTCTCACGGTGAGCAGAAGACACCACCACCTAACAACGTTTTTCTGAAAGAATTGTGATGGCTTTCCAAAGAACTGAAAGGCAGGAAAGCCAAGTGCCTGTCTGCCCTCTGACCCTCAGTCCTACCCCCACCCTTTAAAAAGTTGCTTTCAAAACCTGGTGAAAGCGGCAATTCTATGGACAGAGGAGATTGTGAAATCGGCTTCTGTGATTTTGAAAATGCGGATGGTGATTTTAGCATAAAAAAGAATTTGTACGGCACTTTTCAAAAAAGTTAGCATCATTCCTTGTAATTAAATCAAGGCCCAGCTGAGGCCTGGAACTACCAAAAGATTAAATTAATTTCCCTCCTAAAGGGGTCAGCTCTTCATCTACCCGCCCCCTGCCCCCACCCACCACCACACACAAACCCGGCAGCTCTCTCTACAGCTTGGCTATCCCTCCTTTATCAGACTTTTAAAAGAACAGGGCCTGACACAGCGGGTGTGATTTTCAGCTTTACCCTTTAAAATCCACCACTGAAGAAGACTAAAGAAGAGAATTTAAATTCCTCAAGCGCCCTGCCAGAGAAGTAGGGTAGTTGTTTTAAAAACGCCTGGGGTTGTTTATACGTCGCTTCTGGAGGCCAAGGTTTAGAAGCAACTCAAAGCTAGGGCAAGATCAGAGTGAAAAGTGACCCGAACCGAAGTGAGCTGCCCTTCTGAAGTTGCCAGGTCTACATTGCCCCCTCCTCTAACAGAAAAGCCGCCGAACTGGACCATTCCAGGTATTGGGAAGACACCCCAGCACCTTTCTTGCCCCGGGCTTAATTTTCTGGAGGGTTCCAGAAAAAGCAACAGGATTTGCTACTTGAGGCTTCTAGCAGGAGTAGGCTACAGGCTCAAAAATCTCCTTGGACCTTTGGCAAACAACTACGCCTGCAGTGGACTTTGGACATTCTGATTCCTATAGGGCAGTTTTTTAAAAAAGGCGCGCTGGGGAGGGGGTTCCCCTGGCGCTTTCCCTTGTTGCTTTATTTTTACTGACCGGAAGGTATTAAAGTCTCTCTCTCTCTCTCTCTCTCTCTCTCTCTCTCTCTCTCTCTCTCTCTCCTTCATTTGAGAATTTGAGAGACACAAAACTGTCTGAGCGTTCATCCGGAGGTCCGGGAAGCCTACGAATCAAGACAGATTTGTCCCCTCCAAGGTTTTAACTTTTCTTAGTTTATAGCAAAAGTAGATGGTAGATCTTCTGGGATTATCTTGACTATAAAAAACAAACACCACCACCAATAACAAAACCCTCTTGGATGCCTCTGAGGCTGGCTAAGGTGGGTCCCTCCCAAGGGTCGCCAAGGCAACGCAGCATCCCCACATCCCAAACTCAGTGAGAAGGACCAGAGACTTCCACAGGCAGCACAGGTCTGTAGATGCCACTTGGCCTCTGCCCTCTAGGTTCACTCCGAGCATTGGCCGGCCTTCTTCCAGCCTCCCACCACCCTCTCCAGGCCGGAGTACCTTGAAAGCGATGGGCAGGGTCTTGTTGCAGCGCCAGTGAGTGGGTAGCACGGAACAGAGGAAGTTGGGGCTGTCGGTGCGCACCAGCTCTCCCGGGTGGTCAGCTAGTACCTCTACCATGCTGCGGTCGCCGCTCCTCAGTTTGCTGGCCAGGGCGGCGCCGCCATCCGGGGCGCCCAGCGGCAGCGCCTCGCTCATCTTGCCGGGGCTCAGCGCGGTGGAAGGCGGCGTGAAGCGGCGGCTCGTGCTGGCATCTACGGGGATACGCATCACAACAAGCCGATTGAGTAAGGACCCTGAAAACAGCTCCTACTAGGCGGCAACACGGGATCGGATCTTCTTCAAGTAGCTCCCGGGAGATCAACATACAAGTTCAGGAACCTTTATTACTACCGGAGGGTGGTGGGGGAGGAGGGAGACTAAATTACCAAGAGTCCCGGACTGAGTTCTAGTTAGTCGGATCGGCCTCACCCAAACAGGGCTAACAACTGGCCGATTAGTGCATCAAAGAGTGGGCAACCAGAATCCCAAGACGGATGCCCAAAGAAGCCTCGCTTTCAGAGTTGAAGTTCAGTCTTTGGCTATTACAAACGGTCCCGGAGGCAAAATTCCCGAACACGTCCTAAAATATTTATGCGCAGAAAAACAACAATAACAACAAAATGACCAGCAAAAACTAGATTTGCAAGTCCCAGCAGGTAATTGCCTGTCAATTTGCTTTTCTTTCTTGCAGGTCAGTTTTGTTTAAAGTCTCAACAAAATAAAAAACTTAGGAGTGTCTTCCATACAGGGAGCCCCTCTTATCGTAAAAAACTCACTTCGGTTCTCAAAAGCAGGAGCTGCAACATTAAAAGATTGTGCTAGTAATGTATGTGCTCGTATATATAAATATATACATATGATCTACTTCATAAAATATTTACAATTCAATCTGTAGAGAATTTAAACACAACAGAAATCCATTAATGTTCGCTGAAGTCTTTCTTTTTTTTTTTAAAGTAGCCTTGAAAATCAGCTTCAGTAGTTGATAGGCTGGGGTGGAATCACTTGTCGTTATTCTCTCAATAAATTCTGGACAAATGGTCAGTGCAGAAAATTTAGTTTTACAAAGAAATCTATCTAATCGGGAGGGGGAAAAAAGACAAACTCGATGACGCTCAAGCTGGAGCTTCCCACATCTGAGGACTCGGGTTTGGGAACGTTGGTTAAGTTTGTGGCTGATCCTGTGGTTTGGTGGGAGTTGAGCCGAAGTTGGTTGGGTCACACAGTCAGACGTGCACTCTTCGGAAGCCAGCCACTGTCTACATTGGTTGAGTGAGTCAGCTCAGACTCTGGCAGTAGCAAGATGATCTTCCTCCAACGTCGCCAGGCGCTGGCTGGCTGGTTTTTCTGCTGGGGCGCACAAATACCCACGAGCGAGCGAGCACCGTGTAACCGCAGCAGGTGGAGCGGGCCGGGGAGGAAGCGCCACAGACCAGGAGGCTCGAGTTACATGCGCTAGCGCTCACTCCCACGCACCCTGCCACGCACACGCAACTTCACGGCTCTCCTGGAACCCCGGAACACTTTGGTCCGCAGTTGTCAAAAGAAACAATCGGAGAAAAGTTCACAACCAGGAGAGAAGTTGAAACATCCGACCCCAGAAGCCAGTTCATTCAAAAGTGAGAAAGGAAAAAATAAAATTAAAAGAAAAATAAAAGAGAAAAGAAAAAGGAAAGGAAAATAAGGAGGTCCAACGCAGATCGAGGAGGAGCCGCAAAGGGGGACTTCGTTTCGTCCCCGGGAGCTCAGGATGGAAGTGGCAGCCGCAGGGCCGGGCAGCGTGGTGCCCTGGCTGGGTCCGGCCGCGGGGCGCCCTCCTGCCCGCCCGCGCCCGCTGGCTCTATGAATGAGAGTGCCTGGAAATGAACGTGCTTTTACTGTAAGGCCGGCCGGAGGAATTCCATTCCCTCAGCTCGTTTGCATAGGGGCGAGCGGCGCCCAATCACAGGCCTTTCCGGTATCAGGCTGGGCGCGGCCCGCCGCCGCGCTCCTGGAATTGGCCCGCGCGCCCCCGCGCGCTACTGTACGCAGCCCTGGCCCGGACTCCGTGGCAGCCCCTACCGCCCCTTGCTCCGGCACCCACGCAGACCCACGCACGCACATGCACACGCTGCCACGCTTGTCCGAAGCTCGGCCCTGGTGCAGACCCCACTCCCGGCAGCCACGCACGGGGCAGCCACGCTCTGGGTGGGTTTTCAGAGCGCAGTGGCGCAACCGGCGGCCAAGGTCCCGGAGACCCTGAAACAGGAATCGAAAGGCCGGTCGGACTTGGGAACCATAAGCCGTGCCTGGAGAAGCCCGAGGCCTGGAGGCCAGCGGGAAGGAGACGCCCTGCGAGCCTTGGACTCCTAGCTGCCATCGCGAGGCTCTGGGGACCAGGGCGGGCGTCCCGGAAAGGTCCCCAGCCAGCGGTGCACTGCAGTCCTTGGGCCAAACCTCCCAGTCCCGGGAGGACAGGGTGGGATTCGGCCGCAAAAGGGCCAGAGAGTTGGTGGCCCGGTGGGAGAGGCTCTGAGCGCCTCCCCCGGCTTGAGCCGCTCAGGCGAAGTGGCACCGAGTCATTTAAATAGTATCAGTCGCTGCTTCGCCGCAGGAGTTTTGGGTTTTAAGCTTCCTCTCCTTGGTAGAGTTGCTTTATTTAGTATCTTTTCTCTGAGGCTGGGCTGCGGCTTGATTACGCGGCGCGCCGAGTTCTGAGTGTGCGCAGCGGCTAAAGAGGAGTTAGTTTTCTAACCAAGGCCTCAAAGAACCCTAGACTGCAAAGAAAGTTGAAAGCATCGGGGCGGGTGGGGGGCACCTCTATCGCCCGAGCCCTCATCCACCCTCCAGCTCCCGGGGAAGTCGGAGCGTTCCTCCAGACGCAGAGCCCACTCCTCTTGCGCTCCTGCGCACTGTGGGGGAACATCCTCCCTCCCCGCTCCACGCGCCATGTCCGTCCCCGTGGCGCCGAGGGCATTTTCGCGGAGCTTTAAGGATCTTGGTCCTGCCGGGCGAGCGGCCCACTGATGTCCCCAGCCCGTGCAGCTGGCCTGTGCCTTCCGTGGGTCCTTTAGTTCTCCTGGGCCAGGTTCCTTCGGGACTTCTCACCACCCAGTCCATGGAACCCGTTACTCTCCACGTCTGACCGAACCCTTCACTTCCTTTCTGTGCTCGGGTCTCTGGCCGGTCCCTGCGTGTGTCCTCCCTCCTCACGCATCCACGCGGCCTGGGATCAGCGGAGGAGGAAGAGGCCGTGGCTCAGAGGCCTGGTCTGGGCTTTAGGGCCGCTTCTCTTGCCCCAGGCGGGTGGAAGCTGGCGGCGTGGAACACTGGGCAGGCCTTTCGGGGACACGGCGGGGCTCAGAGCGGACGCCAGGGGGCAGTAGCGGCCCTTGTTCCGCGGCCTATGAAGCAGAACTGGGCACTGGGCACGCCGGCCGGAGGGCGGCGCGGGGATCAGTCCCACCTTGGAGACCCTGAGGTGCGGGGTGGGGCGTGATTTGGGGGGACAAACGTTAACAAGTAGCCAACAGAACACACCAGAGCACCTGCATTACTCAGAGGTGGTAGCCGAGTCAGCCTGCGTGGGAATCTTCCCCTTTGAAACTTTGCCTGAGTTCTCCAGGTGTGCAGCGAACACTGGCAAAAGCGCAAGTAGCGTCGCATTCCCTAGCCTTCTGCACTTCCCCAAGTGGCTCCTCTTCAGTATCGTGCTGGCGCCGGCAAGCTCAGTATTTCCCATGGGTTTTCTGGGGGTCCCGAACTTTGGGAATACAAACATTCCCTGTGCTTTTCTTTTTTAAATTATTCTTAAAGAAGTTCCACTGCAGGAGTCGACTCCCTAAATGTTCCCTAACACCCCACCTTGCCTGCGTGATGCTTGCTGTTGCAGTCTCTCACTGCCCAGCAGCCCACGCTTGCCTGCCGGGACCACCACTTTCTAGGGTCCAGACTTGGAGGTGCCGCCTCTACTGGAAAGTTTGTGGCCAGTGGAAGCTAGACTCCCCCCAAATGCGTTTTCTAAGAAGCTACTTCAGACCTAGTGCTCCTGGGGCCACAGGTAGGCGCATCCCTAGGGACAGACAGAGAGACAGGGATTGTGGCTTGTGGCGGGGACAACAGAAGACCTTGACTCCAGGCAGAGTTCACTCTGGGTAATCAGTATTTCGAAAGGGTTAAAGGAGACGCTTAAAGGCCTCCTGCTTCAAATCCCCAAACCCTGCCTGGAGTTTCGGGTTGTCTCCCTGGCAGAAGCCAAAGCTAGTACGTATTTAGAGTAACGCAGAACACAGGCACCGACTCTAGGTTTCAAGGTCAGGACAGCTGAGTTAATTAAGTTCGAACCTGACGACCCAGACACAGCAATGAAAACTTCCAAACCCGGCCTCGGGGATCCCTGGACCTGCGCAGGCTGTCACTGCGCCACTGGGCGCGCACGTGAAAACCAGAACCAAACCAAACCAGAACCCTCTCCTTACTGAGGAACAGCAATCTGCCAGCGCGCAGCTGGGACACAACCTCCGGGCGCCTAGAATACTTAGGACAAAGTTCTGCAGACCTGTAGCGGGAGACGGAAAGGAAGAATTCCTTCCCACCCAGAGCGCCCATTTCAGCGAAAAGGAGCACTTCCCCAGCTTGCCTCACCGAGAGCTAAAGAACAGGCTTACAACTTTCACTTCCAGGCTTCCCCCTAGAGCGACACTAAAATTTACATGCTAAAAAAGGCAAAGGACAGATTTGTTTAAACTGCTACTGTGCCACAGTCTAACAGGTTTGTTTCACGGGCAACTTTAAAGGTGTCCATAACAGGACTGAAAGTTCTAGAGCGAATCTCAAAAGTAGTATTTGGTTTAATGGGAAGCAACCATTTCAACGGAGAACAGAGCGGTTCTTTGGCTTATTTTTTTTTTTTTCTGTATCTTTGCGTGATTTGCTAACTGTAAGTGGTTGCAGAAAACCTAAGATTTTGCGTGTTTGTTCCAAAAAATCATCTTCAAAATAAGATGTACTTAACAACAATTTTCTTAAATACTTTACTGTCCTAATCAGATTCTAAACGTGTAATAGCTCTAAAGGGATAGTTATTATTATTTCTCTTCCCTTTCCCTCTCTCCTTTTCTTCCTTCCTCCCTCCCTCCTTTCTTCCCTGCCTCCCTCCTTCCCTTTCTTTCTCGGTTTTTTGTTTTTGTTTTTAAATTAGAGAGCACCGTGTCTGTGCAGACTTGCTCGCTGCACTGATACTTGCACAGGCTTGGAGCAATTTTGGAGACTGGCAATCGGTATAACCCCGCGACGTGGTGTCCACATGGTCTGGCTTCCACTCTGGGACTTCATTGCCCTCTCCTCCCGCCTGAAGCACCTGTGGGGTTGGTTCACTTTTCACTTCAGTTTGCTAAGAGGACCAAACAAACCCTTGAATTCTTGCACCACAAACTCTCAGGATGTTTCTGTGGGGTGCTGTGGAGAGTGTGGCACCCCTTAACTCTACCTTGGGAAACCCTTTGTGAACCTTACAAAGAGCAAAAAAAAAAAAAATCTCTTTCTTTTCCCCCCACAAAATTCAGGGTGCTTAGTAAACATTTTACCCCCGTAAAAGTTTTTCATCACCACTGCTCTAGCAAATGCAATAAACTCCGTCATAACTGATAG